GAACGACTGCAATTCTCGTTTGTTAGTAGGTGCTCGTGCTTCAGTGATTGCTCGCACTTTGTCTTCAGAGGGGTTAATTCCCCTGCGCGTCAATCTAATGTCTAGGAAACTTCATTTCAGGCACCACAAAAACACATTTTTCCTCGCTAATGTGCAAGTTAGCATTTGATATCATTTCAAGAATGAGCTCCAAACGCTCTGTGTGCTCTTCACTGGAGGCGCCCCCGACAATAACATCATCTAAGTAGACGCAAACTCCCGGGATTCCACTAAGTGTAGACTCCATAAATTTCTGGAAGAGTGCTAGTGCTACAGCTATGACGAATGGTAGTCTTTTCACTTAGTAGAGACTCTTACTGGTGCTTATCGTGAGCAGCTCGGATGTTGATTCACTCACCCTCAGTTTCTGGTATGCTTGTGTAAAATCCAAGGTGCTGAAGATTTTTCCCAACCGAAACGTGCTAAAAACCACTTCCGGTGTCGGCAAGGAGTAGGATGGTGCCTTTGTAGACAGGTGGACGGTGCTCCGGTAGTCTCCGCAGAGGCGTAGAGTACCGTTCTTCTTTCGGACGACAACGAGTGGTGTAGCCCATTCTGAATGTTGTGTCGGTTCGATGATTCGTTGAGCTACTGCAGTCGGTCAAGCTCATTCTCGACTGACGTTCGTAGGGCAAAAGGTACCGACCTAGCCTTCGAAAATTTCTGCGTTGCGTCTTCTCGCAGCTCCAGTGTGACTGGAGGTCCATTGCTTTCTGGTATGTCTTCAGAAAGAACTGCCTTGTACTTCTCTTGGAGCTGCCCCACTGATGGATAGCTGGGTTGATGGTAAACTCCGCCAACGACCACTCCAAGAGGGGTCAACCAATTTCGGCCTAAAAGGCTTGATCCAGGAGCCGTGGATGACTAGCAATGGCAGATGGTGGGTCTGGCCGTTGTAGTAGACCTCTACGTTGGCACAACGCAGTAGCGGAAGGGAATGTCCTGACTACGTTCTCATCTGCGCGTCGTCTTGCTGGAGAGTTGGCGCGTTCTCACTCCAAGTGGCTCGAAAAGTGTCCTCACTGATGAGCGTGCGTGCTGTTCCAGAATCTACCTCAATCTAGACGGGGCGGTAGTGTGCTATGATTTATGTCCTTATATTCGGTCTCGTGCCGAGATTCGCAACAGTGTTCAAGTCGTATAGAGCGGCTGACGTTAGTGATGTTCTGGTTGTGCTATCTTGTGTCTGACCCTCTTGAGCGTCAACATAGTTGTTACGTTGCGCTGAACCTATGGGCCTGAGCTGTTTGCGTTTGGCTATGCATGCCTTTTCGATGTGTCCCTGTTTTTGGCAAAAAATTGCACGTAGTTGTTCTAAATCGACATACCTGAAGATCGTGCATGCCGTAGCATCACCAACAGCGCGGTGTTTCTTTTTCCCTGAGTTGGCCGTGGTAGCAGAATGGCCTGCTACGGACTGGTGTGGTGCGCTGGCTAAACATTCTGTCGGATATTCCTCTGCTGGTGACCAGCGCTCTCCGCTCGCTAGGCGATGTCGTATACGCTTTGGAGAACGTGAGACTCGTCTCTGCGAACAGGCGTCGTTGTAGGCCTTCGTCACCTAGTGCGCGCACAAAGTGGTCCCGCAAAATAACGTTCAACAGGAGCATGACAGTCGATCCTCCCTCATGCGTAGTAACTGAAGTTGCTGAGGTCGGCGTTCCGAAATCGCTGTCAGCAGCGATTTCTTTATGAGCCGCCACGTAATCGTTTGCTTTTCCACCTTCCAGTTGGTCTCGCCATTGGAAGCAGGCTCGGCTGTAGACCTCCGATGGCCTTGGATCAAAGTGCTTTTGTAGCGCAGCTACGATGTCGTCGTAGTCGACAGTTGCTGGAGTGCGTGGCTGAATCAGAGCGCAGGCTGTGTGATATGTCTGCTCTCCACACAGCGTTAGCAGGTGGCTGTCTGTCTTCATTGCTGCATCAGCGATTTTGTTAGCCCCGAAGTAAAATTGCAAGCGTCCAAACCACGATGACCATGATGAGCCGTTGAATTCGAGTAGCAAATTCTGGAGCACGTGCGTAGACATGACTTGATTGTCAAAATTGTTGCCTAGTGCGGGTCCTAATACACTTACTCGTCGCCACTCTTATGTCCGGAGTTGTCGTCCCATACACGTACACCTGGAATGGTAGTGAAAATGCATAGGCAACCTCGAACGGTTGAAACATGTTTATTTCTACTCAGATGGAGGTGGCAGCTGTACTGCCGGTGGTAAGCGATCGGCGGATCGTCCACCGCTTCATTGATCACCGCCCGGAGGCTCACTCGGAACCCAGTGGTGATTCGGGACACAACACTAAGCTATGAAAATTATGGGTTTGGGGGAGGGGCAGAATAGCTTATCAGCACATCAACACATTGTGTGCATTATTACACACACTACCCGAAGTTAGATGTGCTTCACATTACCTTTAGGCTGTTAACATAAGGAGAACCATGTGGTCTGACACAGGCAACACACTAATTGAAGTATTCATTGCTTAGGAATTATATATTTTAACAATCATAATTATCGGTACTTTAGCTCACGTGAGTTGCAGGCGTAATAAAAGATGATCTTACGCATACTAATTGCAGTATAGGAAAAAAAAAATCCTGTAAGAGTCTGCTTGCTTGCGGTAAAATCGCACTTCCAGGAAACACAGGTGAAAATAGTGCAAGCTGTCGGCTGTTTGGTAGATTACTTTGAATTAACTAGACACCGAACCATTTTCAGAAGAAGAGACAGAAGGAAAAAAAAGGGCATCCCTTATCTTGATTTATTCGTAGTGTTGGTTCGGCGTCTAGTTTATGCAGAGTAACTGAGCCACTCTATTGGAAGTTAGGGGCGCCTGCAAAGCTGCGTGCTAAAAATATTACCTTATAGAATGCAACCCTAGCCGGAAAGCCGTAACTATGATGGGGGGAGGATGGGTCCTGACCCTTTTCCTCAGCCGTAAAATTTTCATAATGCGGTAACCTTTCAGGTGATACTAAAATATGTACACGCATTCAAAGCAACCGCGAATTTACCATTTAAGTCAAGCAACATGCTCACAACCTTCTCCACCCCCCAGCCCCTGAAAAAAAAATTCCTGGGTATTACCGTTGACGAAGTTGTGTATTTGTATGGGACACAATGTCGTGTCTGTTATTCAATGTGAAAGTTTAACTTTTTCGAGATTATGAGGTCTCAAATATGTCACAAGTTTAACTTACGTGACCGAGGGATCCACCTGGTACACATCGTGGTGGTCCTCAGTGGCGTTGTGCGGATATTGTTAATAGGGTGGGGATAGTGTGCCTTTACTGCCCGTACTTGCGCACGTATATGCAAGCTAACTTTCGCAAAGCGTAAAGCTCCTGACTGCACTTTTGAGCCATTTTAGATTATTCAACTGAATTCAAATGACAAAACATGGGCATAAACAAGCGTTTGCTGACATGCAATGACACCACGCCAATAGAAGATCTGAAAAACAGCGCAATATAATCTGTTGATAGAAAAGAAGAAGACTTTATAGTTAATTTAGGCAGAATAACAGATGGGCACCTGCGCTTTTTAAAAGGGCATGTACGTAAATTTTTGAAGGCGAGATAAAGAAGTAGATAGATTTATGCGGAGACATACACAGCATCTATGAGATATCAAGAGAAGTATACCTTAGAACACACCGCGCGACCAAGTGAGGCGATGCCAACATCAACGCAGGGGCAATGTAAACAAACGTACGTCACGAGTTTGTGTTGGCTGGTTGCTGGCACGCGCCTTGCTCTTTCGACCTTTGATTTCCTTCTCCGTGCCTGCGGCTTAGCGCGTGCTGGCTGTCACTGCGGGGCCCGCTCGCGCACACACTCGCGCGCGGCACCGGCCACGTCACCCCTGAAGCGTACGGTTCATGCCTCGGAGGTTAGCGCGCTCCTTCGGCTCGGCCTCTTGGTATTTTAAGCCCCCGGAGGTTTCATAGTTGGTGCACAGTAACCGCGAAAGCCCGCGGTTGAAACAAGAAGCCTTTCAGCATTATCATCGACCGCAAATCTGGTAGAATAAAACTGAGTCGTCTCTGATATGAATGTTCTGATAAAGTTATTAGTGATCAGGTTTCTCATAAAAGAATCGATCGTGTGCGCGCTCATATATAGATCAATGCTCTATCGCCGAGAGAACGAGCAGATGCTTTCCACACGGGCTTCGCCCTTCTTCAATCTACGTAGTGCGCCCGTAGCTCGACCGTGCGCTGCTTGCAATCTGCGCAAGATAGAGTGAGCAGCTATAGGCGGACCTGTGCGAATTCCGATTGAACGATCGCCTTTTCGGTGGGTTGGCAGGTTCCTGAACCAGAGCATGACGCGGCGCAATTTTGGCATGTCCGCGTATTCACTCGCTTACCATGTCACATAGCTGGTGTTAAAAGGCCGATTGAGGCCCAGCAATGCATTAGATGTACTGAAAACGCGCAATCACGCACTATTATAAGATACGACTTGCGCGCGCCAAACGCAGACGCTCTCGTCAGTTTCAGTAGCTCACTTTAGTTTCAGTTTCAGTACAAAGTGACTACAGCGCGCTGCCATTACCACAAGCCGTCAGAACATTACCCGAGATGCGGCGCAGCTTTGTTTGTTTTATTGCCATTTTTTAATACACTGCGACGTTGTTAAAGTATGTTGGTGCACTGTAACTACGTAACAGAATCCCCGAGTGCTCGTCTAAATCAAAACTAGCTTCGATTCCAACATACACTGGGGAAAATTATTTTTGTTGTGCTATTAACGAGTCAGCAATCACTGATTAGACGCAAAAAACACTGGCTCGCTAATTTTTTCTTACCACTTCTTTAACTGCACAAAAGCAGCAAAATGAAAACGGAGTAAGAAACTTTTTTTTTCTGTATATATACAAGCACCACTACCTACACGGGGATACGAAGCCGCTGGTGGCGCCACTTCGTTTCTGTAGAAGGTTTTTGTAGTACTTTATCTCAGCATGGTTGGCATGGTCGCCCAAGATGGCGCCACTTTCGTGGCCGGAAATGTATTTCGCTTGTTTTTGGGGTACGATCTGAAGGAGGGGTGCAGTGCTGTCAAGGATTAGCAAAAGTGATGGACCGCGGTGAGCGTGATTGCGTTGGACCAAGCCTGCGAGGGCCATCTGCAGTACTCTCTTATGTGAGTAATACCTCTCGTCCACAGCACGGGTGTTCCCGCCCTTCGAGGAGGGTCACCAGCGTCAAATAATGTTAGCAAACCCTTCTCGACACACATCGGGGTTCCCTTTCGGCGAAACGAGCCCCTGTGAGTGAGCGCGCACCACGCGTCTCCCACGGAGCTTTGGCTGCGCTTTGTTGCGGGCTCTGGCCGCCAACGCCTTTCGATGATGAGTGCCGTTTCTTAGCTGGCCAACCCCAAGGCCGTGGGTGTTGAGAGTTCAGACACCAACCTTAGGAAGAAAGCGTTTCCGATCAGAGGCCCTAATCTGAGGCCTTCATCGTGCTTCGACTTCATTCGATTGAGTTTCTTTGCTGCTTTCTTTTCCTACGAGCTCACATGTTGGGGTATTTCGATGCGTGCGTACAAAGCCCAGCCTGTATTTTATGTCCTTGTGTACTCGGAAGCAAGCGCGTTCATGCGATAATCGAGCGTCGACTGAAAAAAAAAAAAAAAAGCGGAAGCGATGTCACGCATGTTGCCGTAATCGCGGTTTAGATCTGAAGCATGGTGGAAGCCCTTAACTGCGCGTGGAGAAGACTGTGCATACAGCACTATCGCTGTGTAGATGACGCTATCTAAGCACCTGCATTTAATATAGGCCATTGTATAAACGACGCTGATTTGAGTTGTGTTTTACTTGAGCCACGAAAAAAGTAAGAAAGAAAAAACTAAGAAAAGGAACTGAAGTTGCCAGTATGCGAAAAACAAAAGGTTTATGCTACATCAAAGTGGCTTGATAGAAAGTGAATTCCGGGTCAATATGTGTTGGTATCGCATGAAACATTTCAGCTGTCGCTGTGTTGTGGGTGGCTCATTAGAATACTCGTTTCTTTTAGCAACGGTTGATGTGCTCTGTTCTCAAATTTGATTCGCAATTACGTGGAAAGTTTGGGGTTACATAAGACAATACTAACATTTAGTTGATTGCTTGCACTACTGGTTAAAGCTATTTTGACAGTGTAGCTGTGTTGCGCCAGCCATTTGTATTTGGCCAACAGAAAACTATCATCCAAAGTGGGACAAAGTGAAAGACACACATAGACAGCGTTAACTTTCAATGTGCTATACCTTTGTATGCTATAGATCGCCATTAAGCCTGTGGTGAAACCTAAGAAAACTATCAATATCCCTAACTGGCACACTCAATGTTTGTCCTCTTCATTATTTTTTTCATCTCCTGCTCTGCTCCCAGATCTTCGAAGATCTACTCTACTCTACTGTATTTGTGTGCTGATTTGTCAAGCGTGGAATGGAAAAGCTTGATGGGTGAGAGACTTAAGTTTCAGGAGACAGAAAGGAAAAGAAAGATTGAAATAAAAAATTATTCTTGATGAGGTGAGATTCGAAGTTGTGCACCCCCATTTGAAGGTGGGCATCATGACAGCTCAGCTATCCAGGCAAGCTAGCAGAGCCTTGTTAAGCATACTCTAGCAAGGGGTTGGGAAAGTGAAGTGAGGGTGAAGAGGAGGAGAGTGTAATGCATAGCATTGAAAGAAACAAAGAGAAGTAAAGAAAGGAAAGAGAATGAAAAACAAAGAGAACTGTGTGAACAGCAAAATATAGAAAGGAAGTGAGTAATAGCAAAAGAAACAAAAGGGTAGAAAGAAGCAAAAAAGAGAAAGGAATATGAGAAGGAAATGATAATAAAAGACAAAAGAAATTGTAAAGAGAGAGAAAGGTAAGGGGGAAAAAAAACACTTAGCCTGCGCGTAATGCGTAGCACAGTCACAGCATAAGCTGGAAGAGCGGCCTTCCTAGAGTTTTTAAACTCTTTCGGTAACTACTACAAGCACGCTTGAAGGGTGCCCACTACATCGTAAATCGTCATAATTTTTATTTAGAAGGAAGCATCCACGATATCATTCTTCATCATTCTTTCGGAGAATTGTGGTACCCTCGGCCTTCTTACAAGGAATTGTGTTAATTTCGTTCATTCTGTGGCTGTCGACAAAGAAGAACTACACCCGAGGCTCTTGTAATGGGTTGGAGCATTCGACCGCCCACTCGTTACGTGATTCGCATCATGTCGTGGCTGGTTGTTTTTTCTTTTTTTTTTGTTGTTCTAGAACACTTCATTACACATATTAACGTCATTCCTTACCCTACATGAAGCCTGCCTAGGCTCAGTTTGCAATATAGTTTCGAGCACTGGCATAGCTCAGTGTTAAGATACTGAGTGCCAAGAAGAAGGCCCGGGTTCAAATTTCTTTCTGCCCTGGGCATTATTTATTAATTTAGTTTTTTCTTATTCGGCATGCTAGTGGTTACAGACACCAGTGGTGATGGCGGCGGTGGACAACTACGGAGCCAAACACAACCCTTGTTGGTATCTCAAAACAGGCTTTCGCTGTATAACGCGAAAAAAAAAATATGGAGAAATGAAGGTGACCCAGTTCACTTCCTTCAGGCTTGGCGTCGCTCATGTGAAAATGACCTAATGTTTTAACTACTTCGTGTAAATGTAGATTGCATGCTGCATCAGCACTTTATAGAATGAAGAACCTACAAGGCCAGCAGTAGTATGCACTGATGCATTAAGCATCTTCAGTTTACACTTGGTGATTTCACTCATGTACCAAAATGTGTTAACTTGAATTTATGGTGCTGTCTTGAAGACATCAACCTAAATTTCACTTAACCTGTGCTGCAAGTTGGACAGGGTCTGTCACTGGTGAACTCATTATTGGCATGTCAAGACATGTGCAGTTCTTGGCCATTATACTGCACAGTCACGGACCAAGGATTACTCGGCAGATGAAACAGCTCTATCATGCATCGTTTACATATACCATGTTTAGGAGAATGGTGATTTGGGCAAGTTGGTTGGTATTCATCCTTGAAAACAGTGCATACACAATAGTGTGTACATGTTGTTTTAGAGATGAATACATATACTATACCACATGCAACCATTCAACAAATGCAATGCTTGTAGAAACTATAAACGTAACTTGTGCATGTGCGTACCGATCATTCCACGATACCATTCATAGTCCCTATGCAGTTTCTCTTGTTCAGTGCTTAAAGCCAGAAAGTCCCAGGGTTCCAAGGGTCCTCCTACCAATACTGACGATAAATCTGAGACTCTCTCCTCCCCGGCTAGAATGTAGAGTTCAGTTGTGTGTCTGAAAAATCTTGTCTCCTGTGTGTACTGCATACTGATGTTTCAAAGTATGTCGATATAAAGAAGCACTTGTTGTCGATAGAAGCACAAAGTATGTCGATATAGAGAAGCACACACTGTTTTCTCACCTTTTCTCGGTGAGGCTTCCTTTACGATAGGTCTTGTGCTAGTGAGATTGCCTGTGAAGGCTTCATCTGAAAAACGTTTGGGATACTTGCATGTGTGCCCCCGTCCCTGAATGGTCCTGCACAAGTCTCTGTCACACCAGACTGTCTTGAGACTGTTCAGAAAAAAAAGCCACCTTTCTTTGGTGCCGGGAGCTCTCCTACAGCAGATACCGCTGAGGACCTTGGCAGCGCTTGGAAATCATTTGTTTCAGGTTTTCAAAACTGATTAAGCAAAATAAGAAAGAACTTTATACCATAGGCATGGCATGCAGCAAGGTATCAACTCTGTCAGCAGAACAGAAAGCTTATTGAGAAATGCGGCACATATTTATGGGCGGTTGAGTGGTAGGGAGATAACTGGGAAGATGGGCTACTAGAGACAGTCTGATGTTGTGCAGGCAGGCCAGATTAGGTAGCAATAAGTGTGCATGTGCAAAGAACATGTCAGGAGGCAGCAACCTTGAAAAATTATTTTGCCTGTAGGATGAAATGACGTGTGGGAGACAGCTGAATATTTTTTTTCTCTCTTTCTCTATTTCCCTCTCCGTATTTGCCTGAATAATCAGAGGGCCCCCCTTTGATAAAGTGAGACTTTAAGGCTGGACGGTGAGGCGCACTATTCATAGAAGCTTGTGATCTTCAGGCCAATTATTGGTGGCGATCAAGTGTGCCGGCAATTCATTGGCTGGAAACTTTTGTACCGGAAACACTGCTGGTACCTCATTTCAAGCACCACATGGATTTTAGTTGAGGCGATCTTCAATGATCAACCAATGGATCCGTACCATCGACTGAAAAGAAAAGAAGCCTGCTTTTGCCTTCGAGTCATCTTGGGAATGCGCAAGACTGGACTGTGGCAGTTCATTAATAAGGAACTTTTGAACGGTGCTTCATTTGTCTGCTACTTATGCTGATTTAAAGTGCAGCATTTTATTGACAACAAAACTGTAGATTCGTGGCAGAAGCTCCTCAAATCGATTACCACATAGTTGTGTTGAGAGTCGTACTTCAAGTACAATATTATTGATTTAGTTTTATGTTTATTTGATTCTGTAAAAAATATTACCAAGGAGGCTATTTCAGAACATTCCAGTGGCATAGGACTCTAATATTTGTATAATTGAGTGAAATAATGATCTGCTCCAGTGAACATTTTCTCATGAGATTCACAACGAATTGATACGTTTAACTAAGCTCTTCATAGCAACCCCACAATTATTCAGGTGTCTGAATGTAATGCATCTTGCTTCTCCAACGCACTTCACAATGTGAAATGAGGTGCTCTCCCAGATGCAAAATTTCTTTCTCTGAAGAGAACCAGTATGGAAGCCTGAAGAGTAGCTTTTGCCACTGCATAATGCACCAGAATGAAACTTGCGAAAATTGCTCAAAGTTGGCAGTTCTCGATGGCATCACTGTACACTTCATCAGCCATTCTACTCAGCGCAGTCACTGTAGACGCGTGTAGTTCGATTTAGTTTTGGAATGTAAAACACCAACAGTTATTAACAATTGAACCTGGCGAGATTCAGGCCATAGTCAACGTTTCGGCCTCTGCCCAACATAAAAAATGGAGAAGAGGGCTTGAAAGGGGGAAGGAAAAGAGTGAACAGTATAGGGGGCTAACATTTTCTCAAGAATCGTAGAAGACATATTATCATTGCTGTCATTGTAGGTTTGTGCTGCCCTCTCTCAATAGAAAGGGTGTCGAAGTGGAAATTGTAGCTTTGTTCTGAACATGGTGTCACCAGACTTAATCACGGTGAGTCAGTGACGTGAGAAATATGCTCAGCCATGGATGCTTTCTTTTGCAGGCAGCTTCGAACCTGGTGGCCCGGCTCTGCTGAACCATGCCTCGCCCTCAGTCACTCAAGTGAGTGGTGGACTGATCACTTCTTCATGCCTTTTCTCTAGAATACCACAATGACTCTGTAACAGGGCGGCTGCTTGGGCGGGCTGGTACTGCATTTTTGAAGGGAAAAAATTTCTCTTGTTACTCGCACCCACTCGATTATAATATGTAACTTAGCCATCAGCTGAGCAAATAAGTGTTTGTAATTGTGCTCTCTGTCCTATCAAATTTTTTTTGTGTGTGAAACATTTGTGCCACAAAAAATGGTTTTCCCTTTAAGAAGTCCATGTGTATTTAGAACTGTTATCCAAAAGGATAGCTATGGTGAGTCAGAGTAAATGCATGTAATATATTGCCACGCTCGAAATAAACAGAGAACGAAGACGATGCTTGCGCCAACAGTCTTGTGAAAAGGGACACTGAAGAAGAAGACGTGCTTTTGTTTATGTCTCTTGCTCTTGGCTCCTGCATAAAAACACACGCCGTCGATTCTCAGACTCAACGTCTCGGTGATCTGCTTATGTTGAACGGCGACAATGGTGGAGGTGCTGGACTGCAAGCCTGCCGATGCTCTACACCCCATCTGGGAGTCGTTCATCAAGTCCCGACACGCAGCCACCTGTTACGACACCAGTGCACCTCTTCAGTCTGCGGTTGCTAGGCTTCTCTCCTGAGCTGACCTTCCTTGGACGAACATTCTACTAGGCATTTCATACCTCTGTCAATGGCTTTTGCCAGCCAGCCACAGGTGGTCCAAGGGATACAAGGCAGCCCCGTTTCCAGTCCAGCCCCAGGTAATACATCTTCAGCCACTTGTACCGGATCGCTTCAGTGGTGCCCCACATGAAGATGTTGTAGATTGGCTTGAGCATCACGAACGCGTTGCTGACATCAACTAGTGGAATTTCAACAGAAGCTCACCCGCACGTACTTCGCTCTCGATGACAGTGCTCACACTTGGCTTGAGAATCGAGAAGGCCGTATATCGACATGGGATGAGTTTCGTCAGCAGCTGAATGACACCTTTGCTAGCGTCGACCATCGAGAGCGGGCTCAGCAGTTGCTCGAGTTAAGACTTCAAAAACCTAATGAAACTGTGGCAATGTTTGCTGAAGACGTGTTGCGCCTATATCGTCGGGCTGATCCCAATATATCTGAGGAAAAGAAGTTGCGCTACTTTATGCACAGCATGAAGGAACAACTGTTCGCCGGACTTGTGCGCAATGCTCCAACTACCGTGGCCAATTTTATAAGAGAAGCCACTGCCATTGAGCGTGCTCTGCACCAAAGATCGAGGCAGTATGCTCGCTCGCCTACTACCACCCCAATCAACGCCGCTTCAGTCACTCTGGACAATTGGGGCTTTCTACGTTACCTGATCAAAGATATTGTCCGAGAAGAAATTCAGAAGCTTTGGACTCCTCCAGTGGATACACCAGGGACCGCCGTTGCCGCAGTCGTTCGTGACGAACATAGGCACGCCTTTTCAGCAGCTGATCTGCGTCGCGAGCAGTGTCAAATGAGTTACGCTGATGCTGTCCGCCGTCCACCACCTGTCCCGCCTATTACGTCATACTACCAGCCACCTACAGTCGCACCTTCGTCGCAACATTTGCAGGAGGCTTTCAGACGTCGGCCCATGTCTCTGATGTGTTCATGCCACCAGCCTTACTCACCACCACAAGAGGACATGGGACGCCCACAATTTCGCAGAAAGGACGCTTGGCGCACTGTCGATCGGCACCCTCTCTGCTTCAACTGTGGTAGTGCCGGCTATATAGCTCGCTATTGTTAGTACCGCGACACATCGCTTCCCCCGTCTCGGCCAGGGTATGACGGTCGTCGTGCCAATGCCGATTACATTGTTCGCCATGACGACCCTGGTTTTCGAGGACCTTCAACAACGTGGTCTTTCTATCACGAGTCTCTTGCCAATCGCCAGCCCAACTCTGCCCACAGGTAGCGCTCTCCATCCCTGCTCAGACATCGTCACCGAATCGACGTACTTTTGCTGACCTTCGAGGAACAATGTCGCCCAGCCCTTACCGGGGAAACCAAAGGCGGCGACCTCTCGGTGTAAGGTCGCAGCCCGACTACAAGACGATAAAAAGTCCCCAGTACTGCCACTACAGAACGACTCGACGGCGACGAATATTAACAACGACGAAATGGTGAGCGCCGACCTCAATGTAATTATTGATGGAGAGCGAGTGACGGCCTTAGCCGATGCGGGTGCTTATTTTTCCATAATAAGTCACAAGCTGGCTGATCATCTTAGAAAAGTAAAAACGCTATGGACAGGACCACATATAAGAACAGTGGGTGGCCAATTGCTGCTCCCTGCTGGAAGCTGCACAGCAAGAATCAGCATAGGAGATTCCTCTTTTGTCGCGACTTTCATTGTTCTCCCAGAGTGCTGCAAAGATTTAATTATAGGAATGGACTTTCTCATGGAGCATCGCACAATAATCAACATCCCGGACCGTGTAGTTTGGTTTTACAAGAGTGCTCGTCTGACTGATTCTTCATCATAAGAGCACAAATCCTTTTGTCTCAAAGACCACAATATAGTCGTGCCGCCTCGATCATGTATCCTCGTTTCAGTGGCATGTGACGTACCGTTCGACGATGAAGGGGTCGACGACCAACTAACATTGCTGCTTTTCACTCGGGATTTCAGTAGCACGAGGAATAGTCAATGTCACCGACGGCCGAACGAACTTGCTGTTCACGAATCTCACCTCCGAGCGACGGCACCTTCCAAAAGGCACAACTATGGCATACTTTGACGAGATAGCAGATGTTTGTGACTGCTTTTCAGCACACGAAGCAACGCCTACACAAGACCGAAATGACCTAGCACCTAACCTTGACGTCAGCCCTACTTTAACTCAGCAACAGCGGGAACGCCTGTTTGGGCTGCGTTCCACGGCTGTTTTGCGTTGACCTCAAAAGTTGGGCGGACGTTCTTGACCAAGCACCGAATCATCACAGAGGACGCGGCTAGACCAATTAATCAAAATCCGTACCGGGTGGCTTCAAAAGAACGAGAAGCGATAGAACAGCAGGTAACAAAAATGCTTGAAGACGGCGTCATTCAACCGTCGAAAAGCCCTTGGGCGTCACCTGTTGTTCTGGTCAAGAAGAAAGACGGCAGCCTGTGTTTCTGTGTGGACTATCTAAAGCTAAATCAGGTTGCAAAAAAAAGACGTGTACCCGATTCCCCGCATAGATGATTCGATTGACAGGCTTCGAAACGCACGTTACTTCTCTTCCACGGGCTTAAAGAGTGGATATTGGCTAATTGAAGTCGACCCCAGGAATCGTGGAAAAAACGGCTTTTGTGACGGCGGACGGACTGTACGAATTTAAGGTCTTACCATTTGGCTTGTGCTCCGCGCCTGCTGCTTTCCAGCGTCTCATGGATACCGTGCTCTCTGGGCTTAAATGGAGAACCTGCCTAGTATACCTTGACGACGTCATTGTGTTTTCTACAACAGTTGACAAACACCTTGAACGATTGCAGGTGGTCTTGCAGGCCTGACGCTCAAGCCGGAGAAGTGTCACTTCTGCTTTGAAGAACTACAGTTTCTTGGTCATGTCATCAGTTACCGTAAAAACCCGCGTATAGCCCGGGGTTTTTTCTAAAATTTAGGGTGCGAAATTTCAGCCCCGTACTATATGCGGATCCCAAAAAGTTCCGGCCCGAATTCAGTTTTGGTTTCGGCATTGGTTGGTGCTATCATCATTATCAGGTGTCTGCGCACTTCTACGTTAGGTGGCGTGGTAGCGTGAGCGGCGTTAGTCCTAGAGACCTACAGGTACAGGCGTGCATCAGGCGAGCAACAGTGGCCATTGCAATCACTTGGCGCACATCACGACGGCCACGATTTTACTTCCGTGATTTTAAGCCATGTCGAAACCGCGCAGGCAGTACTCGGCTGCCTTTAAGAGGAAAGTTATTTCTGCTGCCGAAACCATCGGCAACTGTGCCGCGGAGCGGCAGTTCGGCGTGAATGAGCGGAGCATTCGCGGTTGGCGGAAGCAGAAGGAGGCCCTTTTTGCATGCTGCGGCAAGAGAAAAAGTTTCCGGGGACCGAAAAATGGAGCATTTCCAGACGTGGAACGAGAACTGACGGACTTTGTTCGGGAGCAACGAGCTGCACAACTCGCTGTGCACATCGAGCTGCTGCAGGCAAATAAATGCATTTTTTCTGTTTTCTTCGAACAATATTCGCGTGAAAATGTTTTTTCTCGCGTTTGCTATCCCCGAGTTACACCTCGAACTATACGCGGGTCTGAACTATACGCGGGTTTTTACGGTACGCAGGAGTTCGTCCAGATCCCGAGAAAGTTCTTGCCATTACATAGTTTCCGACACCATCAGATAAAAAGGCAGTCAGTCGTTTTCTGGGTCTCTGTGCATATTATCGGCAGTTTATTCAAGATTTTGCACGCATTGCGTCGCCTTTAACTCGTCTCACGAGGGATGATGTTGCATTTGTTTGGGGCGGCGAATAGGATGCTGCTTTCAATGACTTGCAGCAACGTCTACACATGAACCCCATGCTTGCCCATTTTGATGAGACAGTCCCTACTACAGTGCTCCATACTGATGCCAGCAATGTCGGCCTCGGAGCTGTGCTTGTGCAGCGCCAGGACGACGAGGAAAGAGTGATTGCTTATGCAAGCAGAACTCTGTCACGCACAGAAGCAAATTACTCGACCACTGAAAAGGAATGCCTCGCCGTGGTGCGGGCAGTTATGAAATTTCGCCCGTACTTGTACGGCCGCCCATTCTAGGTTATCAGTGACCACCATTCGTTGTATTGGTGAACAAGTCTGAAAGATCCTTCCAGGCTATTGGCACGCTGGAGCCTTAGATTACAGGAATTTGTTATAACGATGGTGTATAAATCAAGAAAACGACACACGGACGTCGACTGCCTGTCTCGATCACCAATAGAGTCCGCTGCTTCCCTTGATGAAGAGACAGCGTTCTTCGGAATCCTCGACTCGTC